CAAGAAGACCTCTTAACTGCTGCAGTCCCCTGGGTGGCCTTCTTGGGCATGTTTAAGATACACAACTGTATTTCATTTTAAGTAGATGCTCATCTGTGGTGAGGTAATTTAAGCACACACCTCTCTGTAGAACGTGTGCATCTGTGTTGCCTCCCATAGTCACCTCCACTTCTGGGATGGTATAAACTGGATACAGGAAGCGTATACCTATAAGCCTCTGATGGGGGTAGGAAAAAAGATAGCAGTTTACTTGAATGTGTATTAAGTTATAACTTAAGATATTAGTACATACAATTATTATACAGACACACAACATGTTTTATGGTCCAATCCAAAATCCAGCAAATGTTGAAACAATTGACTCCTCAATCTTTTTTTTTTAAACCAAATTTAGCGTCATTTTTCCCCAAACGGGGGTTAGACGTGCAAGTCTTTTTTTGAAGCAAGAGTTTTACGGCCAATCTTACCACCATTTTTCAAAGTTCACATTTATACATTTATTTCGCTATCAGGTAACAAGAGGGTCCATGTCTTCTTGGAGCTTATTTACAGTTTGCTGTAACCTTATAATTTCTTTTTTGGATAGTACACAAAAGTTGTTCAAGCAGAAAACATTTCAGCATGGTTTCACAAAAATTTGTGTACTAATACAACACACCCTTTTGTTGATATTTTCTGGTACAGTTCCTATAATCTACAAATGTTATTTTGCTATCCTAATGGTGAAACTATTTCATTGCTTCCCTCCTACCTGTTTGTTCACCACATGTTCTGACATAGCAGTGATGTCCAGGTTGAGAGTGTTGGTACCAAGGACAGCAGTCTGGGAACATGTGGCAGATATTCCTATAGCAACAGGGAATGTTAACACAAGGCTCAAAATACCATGAACCTGCAAATGCAGGTTAGTGCAGGTCTAATTGAAGCTGTACAGATATTTCTGACGTCTACCTGCACTTTACTGGTCCAAGTGCTGGGTTTATATACAAATGTAAGACTGTATGTGGATTTTCCCTGTCTCCACTTATGAAGTGTGAAAGAAATAATAGCAATAGTTTCTGACCATTTTAGTATGACCTGTACTTCCTAAATTCTGAGTGATGCAGGTAAAATTTGTCTGGTGTAGGTGATTTTCAATGTGTGACCATGCAGAAAAAGTTCTTAAAGGCCTGCATACGTAGTGAACATGTATACTGACAACACAACTTTCATATCAAACATCTGAAAATCGCATCCAGGCTGTCAAACAATTGGATACTGTTTCAGTACCATGGACAATACCACCACTATATGGTGTCAACTAGTAATGCTGACTGTGTGCTTATTGGTCAATTTTGGAGGCCTTCTGACCAATCAGCATTTCTTGCTTGTTTTCCTGCATTGTAAAGTCATAATTGCATCACACATACAATGTCACAGAAGGGGCTTAAGAAATATTCCATACAGCTTGTAACTCCTCTGCAATGTGCCTTAAAGTTAACAGATATTTATTAATAAAAACTGTCTAGGTATGTACTTCTCATGAGTTCAGTTTTGACTTCAAAGTCCTCCACAACTGCTTCCAGTACAAATTCTGCCCCCTCCACTGCTACTTCTAAAGTACTGGCACAGATCAGGTTGGTCTGAAAAAAACAAACAGTACCTGTAACTGCACAAGTTATCTATATTTCATTTGGCCAATTTCTATGAATGTTTCCAATTCAATAAATGCCAAATCAAACCTTCCATTTATCAAGTATCAAAACCTGTTGTTGTTTTTTAAATGGTCACACAATATAAAGTGATGAGTAGACTGGAGGAAAATAAAACAACAACAAAAAATTTTTCAGCATAAGTTTCCTCAAACATTTCTAGATCTTAAAGATGCAAAGATTTTTCAGCATGGGTTTGGGAGTCTTACAGGCTGTGTATGTTGGTTGAGGAGGAGTCCATGTGTCCTGAGGTGTTCCCAGTCCTGATGGACCTTGGACACAGCTGTACTCAGGGCAGTGCTGTCATTGTCATACATTGACACATCACAGCCACACAGGCACAGTTCACCTGGGGGAGAAAATATTGTCCGGTATTTGAATCATATAAACATATTGTAGTTTAGAACGTTCTTGTAGAGATGTTTTAAAAGTTAGATTTTAGTCAGTAATTCTATTCAACATTCTGCCAGACATGAGTACCCCTGGAACCTATATGCAGAATTTTGATAGGCCCATACCAGCTAGTATCACTATCACTATGATCATTATTATTATATAACCTTATTATCTGCCATTCATTGTACCTGCTACAATTGTTGTGCAATAAACTAAATTGACTTGTCTTGATTTTACTTGACTATGTTTGACATATGTGACATATGCCCTTATCACCTACATCCACTGATGATCATTTACTTGATACTATATCTATAGGGACAAATTTGGAGTTACTAAGAAAACAGTTACTCAAGCAAGGAACTGGATAGATTTTGAAAACTGTCAGACGTTTCAAGTTAAATTTCAAGCATCCACTACTTTTCGTGACATCACTTTGACAATTTTCAACATCTACCCAGTTACTTGTTACCAGGATGTCTAACCTTCATCTACGTATCTTGGAGTAACCGAATTCTCCTTGACGAAAAGTTATGGACAGTGTTCTTGTAAGCTGTATGTTAAACTTACGCAAGAAATTCATTTGAAGAAATTTTTTACAAGTTTAATTTACCTGCGATTCTTGTGCCCATAAGACCGCATCCTATCACAGCTACCTTTATCCGCTGATCGGGAGCTCCTGCACCTGTTGTCGCGTTGCCTGAACAGCCTCCATTCATGTCTCACTTGTTGTTGATCACTTTTTAACCGCCTTGGTTACGCAAATGCTGAAGAAACAGTTTCTGACAGTGAGTGGCATTCCGTTTATGGAATAAACCATTCGGTCATTTCAAAGGGTAGAAAATGTTAAAATACATAGCAAAACAATTATTGACACAATTATTGACATACTTTGATACATAGTAAACAATATAATAGGTAGTATAATCTACTATTTAGCCTATTAAGGGCTTTTTGGTACAAATTTTGATCGCAATTTATTATAGAAGAAAAGTTACAACCCTAATCTGAAATATACTGTTCCGTCGACCTCTGACCTGCTAAGATGGCGTCCAGTCAGGACGACAGTTCCTCTGGATGCAGACATTCGGACTGTCCGAGCCTCTCCGCCCGCCGAGTGGTGACCAGTGCGGCTAGGGAGAGGTGGAAACTGCTGGGAAGGGTATGCTGAAATAATTTAAGTCCAGAGTGGTGACGATTTTACAGTTGACAACCTCTAAACTATCAGTGTTTGGTGCGAAGT